ATGATAGTCTTGGATCATGTATCTGAGACTTCCAGTATGACTGGAAGGAAGAATAATTCTTTTACCTATTGCTTGTGCATTTGTATCTCCTTTTGTAATAGCATCTTGAATTCCTTGATAAAATTCAAATCTCAAATTTTTTTAATTTTTTCTAATATAATCAAATCTGTCTTCTTCTACACAGGCATATGCATCAACTACATATTGTTGTAATAATCTTCCACTCCTAAATAGGATATCACTTTGATTTTGATGTTCTAGTAATTGATAACAATAAAATTCTCTCATAGAAATTCTTTTTCTTTTGTATGTGTTATTTGCGTTATTTACATTATATTTTAAATCTGTTCTATAACCATCTTCTCCATAAGGAAACAATAATGGATATTGAAGAGACATATAAGATGGATGTAATTTTGTAATTCTTTGTAAATAATTTGTTCTATCTTCAATTATAATATCTCTTCCTTGTTCGTATTCACTAATATCTCCAACTATTAAACAACCTATATCATTTGAAGTTGGTAATTCATATTGATTATTATTTGTATTTCTTCGATTTATAAGTTGTAATTTCATAGATGGTAATTTATCTTCTTCGTATCAATCTCTTATCATTCAAATTTTTTTTACTAATTTATTTGTATTATCTAACAATGTAATTAAATGTTCAATTATTATTTTTATTAAATCTTTTGATTCATTTTCAAATGAGAATGAAGCCATTTGATTTTCAATTTCATTTTCCGTATCATATATATATAGTTGTGCAAATCTAAGAGGATTATTATCAGTTGGAAGAAGATATCATATCATATGATGTATTTGTCCACTTGTTTTAAAAATATAAGGGCCAATAGAGTTTTTTGGAAAATTTTCTATGTTACTCCCAAATGATGTAAATGCAAACATGGAATTATAAATTCTAATATTTTTTTTTGAAAATGTGTACTTAATGATTCTCCATAATAATCTAATAGATTATATAGTATAGAAGGAATATGTTTAATAAAAGGTATTCTAATTTTTCCTTGTCTATAACAAAGATTGAATTTAGGTGGGTTACTTCTTTTGATTCGTTCATTAAGACAAAAAAAGAGCACCACAATAATGGCAGCTATAAGAACAGTTTTCAAAGTCGATGTACATTAGTATCACCTAAGAAAAAAAATTTAGATCAGTTTGTGAAACTATTATATAAATAATTTTTTTTCTAAAAATTTATTATTTAGTATAAATAAGAAATTTACGATTTTGTGTGTTATTTTCAAATGCTGATGCATGGACTTGTTCAGAGGATCTGCTTTCAGTTTCAGACATTTGTTGCATGCTTTCAGTTTCAAACATATGTAGCATATGTCTGCTTTCAGTTTGGGACATATGTTGCATCACATCAACTCTGGATCGAGGGATCAATGTGAATGAATCTCTTGTACCATAACTTGATTTAGTTGAGTAATCAGTATTTACAACTGTTGAATCCTCGTCCATATGTGAGATGATACGACGTACGCAGTAGTTAGATTTTATGGGCGTTTTTTTAGTTTTTTTCTTCGACTCCATATGTGTATTACAATACATTGTGATTTAATAAATTAATTTGTAAAATTTATATTTATGTTAGAAAAGATTATGGTATATGAATAAGCATGATTACTATATTAGACGAAACAGAATAAATAAATTTATCTAACAAATAAGATAAATAAAATGTACATAACATGATAAGTAAATATTTATGAGAATTTTTTAATCAATGAATGAATATTATAAAATTATTATGATATAAAAAAAATATAACATATATAAACTAAATATAGAATTTCAGAAATAAAAATAATATATGTATAAATATTTTGTAATAATAATACCATAAGTAAAATATGAGAAGAAATTAATAGTTTATAAACATATATAGTATCCTACAATATTATATTATAAAGTAAAAGAAATATATTTTATGATAGATAAAGTATATAAATATATTTAGTGTTATTAATAGCAATCATATCTAATGTCATAAATAAATATTGAAATAATAATGGCATAAAATTTTAATAATACCTGGAATGTTGTGTAAATAGCAAATTTCAGCTAACCAAATCAGAATATATATAGAAATGATGCTTTGCTATGAAGATAGAGCAGGAAACGATTGATTTTCAAGCGTTGCAGGACAATATGGAGATAAGAAAAGACCAAATCTGCTTGGAATTAACACAATAGAGAAATAATTTATTACCACATAATGATTATAATATATTAAAAATAAAATATAAAAAAGAGAATAAAACAAATGTATTTTAGAATAGACTTAATTGTACTAATATGCTACATACACACATTGAATCAGTAAAAAACTATAAGAATAAAGCAATTGAAACATATTTAGCAAGAAAGATAAAATATAGTAAGTAAAATGTAAAATAAAAACAACTGAAATTTTTAGAATAAAAAACTACAAACGAACATGTATAATGTTAAGGGTATTATTATGTTAAAAACTGTTGAATTGTGTCCATTTGCACTGATACAGCCCAATTTTTTTGTTCCTGTTTCGAGCCATTGATACCATTCAATTTTTTTGTTCCTGTTTTTATTTGCTATATTTTTTGTTTTAGTAGTTGACAAACGGCAATGAAGTAAAGAAAAGTAATATTGTTATGAACAATAATATGTATTATTATATATGTATTGAAAGAAAAGAAATCTATTATTACTTTCTGAAAATAAATATAACATAATAGGTAAAAAAATTTATATACAAATTTATGTCTCAATTACATCATAAATTTGGACTTTTGAGTTATTTCATGCCCTCGTGAGAAAAATTTTGGATTCCGTCTTCTAATGTTTCCTCACACAAACTTGTAGCTTATTTCCCGGCACATGTTAATAACAAAAATAAAACAGCATTATAATTGTGAGAATTAAATTTTTGAATATAAAAAACTAAATTTTTGATAAAGAAAGACATTAATTTGTAGTAAGGCTTAGAACAATGTATAAATATAAAACGTTAGTCACTAAAGTAACAATAGCAGTGAATGACCAAAAGTAGATTGGAAACAAAGAATAGTCAAGCGCAGGCAACAAACGTTAGTGAATGAAATAAGAATAGCAGTGAATGACCAAAGGTGGACTGGAAAGAAAAACTGGTCAAGCGCAGATAAGGAAAACAGGAAAGTACAAAATGGAGATATATATATATGACATCTAACAATATACACGGCTGCCACCTATGTTTTAAGGAGTTTATGCCATAAGTAAGAAAATTTAGTATACATTTGGTTCAGGTTATATTCACTTGTTGTGAAGAATATATACCATGAGTAATTGAAATGAAATATGGCAATATACATGGCTACCAACTACATTATTAAGGAGTTTATGCCATAAGTAAGAAAAAATAGTATAGCTTAGAATAGCAATAGACAGTATTATACATATATTAAGGAAAAGGAAAGATTTCAGTGTTTACTAAAAAAATCTGAAAGATATAAGTTAAAACTATAACTTTAGCCGTGAATGGAGTGGATGGAAAAAATAGAGAAACGCAAGAAAAACAAACTGAAAAGTACAAAATAATATCATATACAAAACCCGACAAGAAAAAACAGAGGAATAAGTGATAGAGCAATATAAAAAAGAGTAAGAATCAAACAGTTTGTGCAATATACCTAGTTATACTAATATATCATATACATAAATTAAATCAGTGTATAGAAAAAAAAGCTTTATATTATACTATAAATTGAGTAGAGATTATAAATATATGAAGAAACATTTAGGAAAACATAAGATTATATATAAATATTTAGTTCAGGTTATAATCATTTATTGTCAAGAACATATACCTTAAGTAATTGGATACAAATTTAGCAATATACACAGCTGCCATCTACATTATTAAGGAGTTTATGCCATAAGTAAGAAAATTTAGTATACATTTGGTTCAAGTTATATTCATTTGTTGTAAATAATATATACCATAAGTAATTGAAACAAAATCTGGCAATATACATGGCTACCAACTACATTATTAAGGAGTTTATGAAAATAAAATATATTGGCATAACTCTAAAATAATAAGGGCAACATCAATGATAGCCATATCTGTAATATAACATCATCATAACCGGACAAGAATAAAATGTTTGAATATAAGAAACTGAGTTTTTGATAAAGGAAGGCATTATGTTGTAATAAGATTTAGAACGCTGTGTAAATATAAAATGTTAGTTAATAAATTAGGAATAACAGTAAATGACCAAAAATACAATGAAGAAGAAAAAGAGTAAACTGCAGAGAAAACAAACGGCTATGTACAAAATAGTATCATAGACAAAAGTAACTTTTATAAATACAAATATATAGTAAAACTAAAACAAAAGACAAATTAAAATATATTGGCATAAGTCCAAAATAATAAGGGTAACATCAATGATAGCCATATCTGTAATAACAATTACCCGGCACATATTAACAACAAATGAAATATAACATCATCATAACCTAAAGAGAATAAAATATTTAGATATTAAAAACTAAATTTTTGATAAAGAAGGACATTTATATCTTAATAAGATTTAGAAAACTTTTTAAATATAAAATCTCAGTTAATCAAATTATAATAGAAATAAATGACTAAGAGTACAATAGAGAAGGAAAAAAGTAAAGTACAGTATAAAATATTTCATATAACGAACAAACATAACATTATAAATTAATATTCTAGAACAAATCAACCAAAGTAAATCTAAAATTGAATACCTGATTCAACGAACTACGGGCAAAATGATAGATCAAAGAAAGCAACTAAAATTACTGAGCAGCAGAAATAGAGCAAAGGAATATAAAGGAGGCGGTAAGGTTAGTAAGAAATGGGTAGTATCATTAAGGTCTTTAAAGAGTGAAAAAACAGAGAGAATAGAACATGATAGATCGTATTAGCTGAAAGACAAAGATAATATATATACAGAAAGTTACCAATGTTTTGCCTAATCTCTGATACAAATCCCTGCAAACAAAAAGCAATAGAAGTAATGATTAATTAACAACATCCATCACACTGCATGAAGACCACCGTAAAATGTAACCAATAAATAATAGACAGTTATATTTTGGGTGCATATTATACAAAATGAAAAAAGTAAAAAATACACGTGTCAAAGTAAAAGATTAACATAAATATTATTACATTTAGATGACGACAAATATTAGAGATTTGTTCAAATTAATACGAATAAATCAAAATATAGTAAATAAAAACAGGGACGAAAAAATAAATAACATAGATAAAAAATTTTGAAATTATGAAAAAAAAAGTTAAATTTTTTTCACAAATATAATAGCTGAATAACAAATAAATTAAAAAACATAAACAAAACTGTTGGTCTCCGAATCGAATTCGGATGCGGAAGCGTGGTGGTGCGGGAGAGGGAGGTGGATCGTGTATAACAAAAATTTTCATAAAACTTTTGAGATACTCTATAGATTATATTAATTTATGCACGAATAAATTAATCTCATTAACTTATATATATCAAGAACTCAATCAAGAAAAATACCTGGAAGCCGACTCGGATGATAACTTGAGTTCTTTGACCACGAACAGTCCTTGCTCCAATCTTTGTGCTTAGAAAACCAATGTCTTCCACGTCAATTCTTAGAATCCACGAAGACATGAGTGTGGGCACACATGAGACAAAACGGGTTACAATAAACACTCGAATTTTCACAAATACCATCGCATGCACGATGTGGAATTTTTGGAGAAAAATGTTTCCTTCACTCTATAGAGAAATTTCGGCCACCTCTAAAATTAGGGCAAAAAACCATTCCGAAAATTGTCTCAAAAATAGTATTTATAGAGTAGAAGTCAAACTTCTAGAAGGAATCCAATCTCTATCTCTAAGATAAAGCTTGTTAATTATCTCCTATTTAAATTTTAAACAAAATCTCATATTCCCTTATCCCTTAGTGTGGCCGGCCAAGATGGGGATTCTCATCCCTGTGTGGCGCCAATATCAGATAGGGAAGGAAGAGAAAATCATCCTTTATCCTGTAGTCCAATTTTGACTCAAATTCAAATTCCAATTTAAGTCAAACTTAAATTAAATTGAATTCTAAATTGAACAACTTATCAAATAAGTTTAAATGGATAAATCTAGATGTGTTCAAATTCAAATTTAAATAATCACATTATTTAAATAATAATTAATTCTCAATTAATTATTTTCGAGTGTTTAATTTTAGAATTTCGTAATTCTAAAATTCCCATTTTACCCTCTGTGTCTGGCAAAATTACTAGGACGACGTGGGGACTAATGGACCTATAATCCCGAGCTCCAATAAAATTAATAATCAATTAAATACTTTAATTAATTAATTAATTATATTAATTCCAATAGTTACTCCATTATAAACTTGGAATTGCACTCTCGAAATTATAGATATAAATTACTTCTAAACTGTGAAATTTATCTACTTCTTTCTTAAGAAGGAATGGATTCCATCTCGTGTAATAATATTCCCGGCTACCTACTTCATCATGTCTCCAAATACAAGGAATAGGATTCAGGATCTCAGAATCCGTACCGAGTAAATCAAAAGACACAAATCCATAAATAGGAGTCTGTTAAGAACTCAGGATTAAGATCATCCTATATATGACCATCGGTAGACTCAATTAGAATTTCTATACTTAACGGAATTATTAGAAATTCATATTGTGTTTGTGTCCTTGTTCCACATAATCTCATTATGCGAAAAATACTAATTCAATATCTCACCATATTAACAGTGCAGATAACACCGTTCCATTCTAAATGGGAATGACATGTATTAATAATGTTTTAATTAAAGATTCTGAACTTTAATTAAATTCATTATGAACATTGCTTTTTGATTATTATCCTTAAACATTATCCTCTCGTATATAAGACTTATATACAATGTTTAAGGTTACATAAATAACCATGGAATTTTCATTGATATTCATAAAATATTCATAAATATATGCACATAAAATAATGAATAAACTCTTTTTATTAAATAAATAATAAATATCTTATTACATCTCATGCTTCTAGGACACCATTCCCAACAAAAACAACATGAAAAATGAACATAGATCTAAAGTAAACGACCAAACAACCTAAAAAAAATTTAATAAGAACATAGATCTAAAAAAAATGACCAACCCTATGAAATCAAAACAAAAATAATCAACGAAATGAAAGACGAAGCTAACAAATAGCGCAATGAGAGAAAAAAGTACCATGCATATACAACCAAAAAAAAAAGTAAAACATAAAACATCAAAATATATATATATATATATATGCAAAAAGAAAGAAGATGAAAAATGAATAAATCTGGCCGAGAAATAAAAAAAAAGATCTAGAAGGTTGCAGAAAGAAGAAATATGAGAAACGAAGAAATCTGGCGCAAAAATGGAAAAAATGGAGAGATCTAAAAGGTTGCAGAAGAGAAGAAACGGAAAAGAGAAAGTAGACCTAGAAACAAAGAAAAAGAAACACGGATCTAGAAGATCGTAGAAACCAACAAACGAAAAAAAAACTACTCAATCTAAGTGCGCAAGAAGAAAAACAAATCTAGAAGGTTACAGAAGAAAACAAACGGAAGAAAGAAAAAAAAAACTCAATCTGAGTGGAAAAAAAAGAGCCGTAGAAGATTGCAGAACCAAAAAAGCGAAAGAGATAAATGACTGCAGAAAGAAGGGAAGAAAAAATCGCCGAAATCAACAAACGAAAAAGAAAAAAAAACTCAGGCTGAGTCTCGAAAAAGAAAAGAGCTCTAGATGGTTACAGAAGAAAACAAAAGAAAGAGAGAGATAAACGACTACAGAAAGAAGGGAACAAAAACAAATGAAAAAGCAACAAACGAAAAAAGCCAAAAAAAAAAACACTCAGTCTGAGTGTAAATGACCAAAACAGTCACAGCAAATAGAAACAAAAAAATATGAACTAAAGGGCAATATAGTAAATTTAAACTCAACAGGACATAACGAGAATAAAAATTTTATCAGTAAATGACCAAAACGGTCACAGCAAATAGAAACAAAAAAAGCTGAACTAAAGGGCAATATAGTAAATTTACACTCAACAGGACATAACGGGAATAAAAATTTCATCAGAAGAAAAAAGCAAGGCTAAAATGGGAAATACACTGTTCATTGCACTGTAGCATGAACAATGAATCCTGTCCTCTCCTTTAGTATATGTATAATATAAAAAAAACTACATATAGACTGCATATAACGGTTATTCTTCACCGACTTGTGATACATCACCATATATCACATACACTATATGCTAAAAAAATAAAAAATAAAAAAAACCATCACATAGTAAAATATACTTTATTATTTTTAAAAAATACTTAAGAGCACTATCGGTACTAAGCACCATCACTAATAAAGATAAGTTTCATATGTGTGTCTTACACTGCAGGATCCACCTTTCATGTACTCACTGTTTTTATATGTGTAACGATGCAAGGTGTCAATACGCTTTTACTTTTAATAAGTAAGTGAGTCCATGCAATTATATTATAATAAGTCAAATGATCAAATTATAATCAATTATTCAAAATTTGGTAAAAGAATCTACTGCACGCAGCATTATTCATATGAAAACTTCTATTAATGAAATTCTTCAATATGAAAGGAAAAGGAAAATAAAACGACCAACTCTATCTACTCCATGCATAAAGTTTCATCCATAAGTAGAAAGTACGTAGTGCACTAAGATCATGGCCATGCCATTAATATTATTATCAACTCAAGTAGAAAACTTATCATAGGAATAATATAAAAAAACTGAGTCACACTCAGATATGTGACAATAGTTACCACAATATGGATAATGATGATCAATATATTATTCTTTTATTAGAAAATATATATATATATATATATATCCAAGAAAAAGCGGACTACTCTTGGTCTGCTTTCGCTTTGAATTATCAATCACCTTCTTAGGGCTCGCCTGCAGACAATTCCTCAAAGCACCAATCTCATCCACATGCCCATTTATTTTGCAATGAAGCTCTTTTATCTTCTCTCTCTTCTCCTCATTTCTCCTTATCAACTCAGCCATTTGCCTTAGATGATCCTCTATCAGTTCTGACACCTCCTTATCGCTCCACACCTTGTCTTTCAATGTTTCGAAAACTTCGAAATCTCTGCCTCCAATAGAATCAGCCAAGACCAAGTACTTATGGAAATGATCGTTACATGATGCATCATGATGGTCAATAGCACTACTACTATTTTCGGAAGTTGGTGTCTTTGGCGCCAATGTCTGTTTGGTCTCGTGGTTTTGGATTTGTCTCAAGGATCTAAATGCGGGAGAAAAGGACGACATTCTAGGATTAACACGACCGATCAATGGAGGGCTGAAACGACGACGATGATGATCATGAAATCGAAGTTGGTCGTACTTTTCAGCCAGGGAACTGTAGGATTTGTGCAACTCCTTCAATACTTTGACAAGCTGAGGCCTTCTTTTGTAGTACATCTCGGCTCTTTTGGCAAACGAGTCTCCATCTTCTTCTATTATGCTCAGCATCACTTTGATCTTCTCATCCAGTTCTGCATTAATAATATAATGTTATAAAATATAATTGCCGGTTTTGCATAGCATTTGTGAAAACTCACGTCTTTCAGTCCAAAAAATGTAGACGAATTAATTTCAAGACATTGGTTATTTCCAGAATATAAAAAATATATGAGTAATTTACAGTATGATATTCGAGGATAACTCTAGTGAATATTTTTCACTTATTATTTTCTTTTCTATCTCAATGATAGCTAGACTTATAAATATAGCAACAATTTTATCTTTGGTGAATCATAATTTCGTTCCCTATTAATATAGTTTAATGTTAATATTCACGCGGTTCACTATAGCAAGCAGTAAGAAATAGGTCATGCAAACAATGGAAATTAAGAATTATTATTTTTAAGAGAGAGAGAGAGAGAGAGAGAGGTCCATGAATGAAACGACTTAATACGGAGAACATTGATTACGCCGTTTGGATATCCTTAAATAAAATAGTAATAGTAAATATAACTAAAGATCTAAACAAAGCCTCACTGTCAAGAGGAGAAAAAACGTTACAGAACTACTAAGAATGCAATAGAATATTGTATGGGTATTTTTTTAATAGAAAAAATGAATAGATATATATCACTATATTAGACTCCTTGGAATATATAAATCAATCAATGAGAGTGTTATTTATACATAATAAATTTATTATAACCTGAGAGATTGGTTTGAAGCCACTGAGATTGATTGGGACGATTATGGCTGCCATCGCACCACCATGAAAATGCTTCAGCCTTGTCCTCTTTCTTCTCCTCGTTCGAAACCATCGTCTTCTAATCTTTGATTTCGTATTTACCTTAATCTTAATATATGCGATTCTATTATGCCCATCACAATCCGTAATTGATTGATTCCATTAATATTATTCGTCTATCACCTCCTGAATATTAGGAGTTCAAATGCAATGACTTTTTGAAAATACTTACGGTTAACCATGATCTCGGGAGGTAATTTCTAGTTTCCATTTGAAAAACTGCGTTTAAATAAAATAGAAAGAAATGGAGATCAGATTTGGAGAGGGGTGGAAAAAGTACTAGAATTTCTCTCATTTTAAAGGTTAATTGTAAATATTGTGTAAATAAATTAGGAAAACATGTTCCACCCCCAAAAAAAAAAAACATGGAATGCATTGCATGCAATATTTACTGTGTTAAATGAACATTCCTGTAATTATAAACAAAATAAGAAAAAAAATCAATTTTTGGGTTTTTTGAAGACGCCACATTTTATTTGCCATTAATGTTGTAAACTTGCAATAAGTATAGGTATTCTTTTTTTTTTCCCCCTTGTTGCAAGAAATATTTTTTTAGGTTTTTTTTTTTTTTTTTGGGCTGAATTTGTTCAAGTGACGTGATAAAATACTCTCTTTTGGTTTGTATGGATCAATTCAGGAAAAACACTATCACCCTATTAATAGTAAAAATATTGACGTGTCCCCCGCAAATTTTGATTATAGTACTTATTTAAGTTACAATTCTACTTAAAAAATAATTTCACAAGCTTTTGTAGCCTTTACTCAATATGAAAGTACTAGCATCTCAAAAATAAATAAATAAATAGATAAATAAATAAATAAATTAGCCAATTGTACTTTTAGATTCAAAATTTTTTTTTTTATTAAACTTACTCTAAGAGTGTATGAGTCTGAATTTTTACTATTTACTCTTAATTAATACTCTTTTAACTAATATAATTATTTGACTAAAAAAAATATTAATCATAAGTAAGGAAAAAAAGTCTAAACCACATGCATTTTAAAAGGTATTTATTGTATTTTCTTTTCTTTTTTTCTCACGATAAATACTTGTCCGATTCAAAACTTAATTAGTGGCCTTAGGTTTTCTTTTTCTTTCTTTTTTCTTTTTCATCTCTCTCTCTCTCTCAAAAGATTAATTAGCTAATGCTATTTTGCTAAATAAAATAGCAGTCCCACGAAAATATTTAAGCAGCGGTGCCTTAAAATAGCCAAGATGAAGAACCGTTGGTCTTGAAGAAAATACATGCAACTACTACGTATAATTGACCCATAAGTATAAACTACCACCGGGCACCGACTGCCAAAGCACTGTAATTTATCCACTTAAAAGACAGCAAGTTGAGCCATATGTTGACTACGGTTGCGTTGATGGTAAGCATCATAGTTAGTGACCTAAAAGTAACAAAGCAAACACCCAAGTAATATTGGCTACAACTGCAAAGTCGTTCTCCGCTTCTTTTGATATTTTATGGTTTGTAGTACATAAATTGCCCACAACGTGGCTGAACTTGGACCAAGTCCTAGTTGGCGACCACAGTCACGTTTGCTTAAAACTGAGAAAAGTCAACTGCCAAAGGCAACGGTCTCTACAAGACCGTTGCATTACATGACCAAGAACAAGGTCAACGGTAGTTTTTGCTGAGACCAACAGTAGCTCACCAAAGTTACTTAGAACGGTAAAAAAATAAAAAATCAGCTTACCTATGGTGACACAATGAAACCCTAAATCCTTTTATGGATAGGAGAAATTGTAAAAATCTGCAATTGTACTCCACTTCTACAAATTATGCAAGAGATTTTGGATCTTTATGGGTGGAAACTGTGACAGCAAATCTCTCTCGTTTCTTCTTAAGCCGAAACACATTATATGAAATCCACAACTTAAAAATAGAAAAAATATGAACTAAAAACCACTTGACAGGAAAATTAAAAAAAAAAAAAAAAAAAAAAAGGAACAGAAGAAAAGGCCATTAATGAAAGAAAACCCCTATGTTTTCTTTTAATTTTTTTCCATTTTTTTTTTAATGTTCTTTCAGATTCTTCAAGATGTTTAGACTGAGCAAAATCAATTTAAAGGGTGGAATGCCAAAGTCCACCGAATGTTAAAAGTCTCCGACCAAAAGTTTGAATGAGCAATGTCAGTTGGCAATTAGTAGCGAACCAATATTTATCAACTCCAGCATCCACCGCAACACTTTCCACTTCACGAGGCTCCATTCATGCTATACATATAGCCTCTATTTTCCCCTTTCATGCCCATCCTTTATCAAGCTTTTCATAGTTGGTTTTATTTATTTTAGTTTCTATTTATCTTTTTTAAAATGATTTTTCACTTGTTCCTTTTCGTTAGTCTTCTTTATCTTCAACAGTTTTTCAAACCCCCCAAACTTTCCTCGTTATCAAAGGACGAATGATGAAAATGCACGCAGGGATTTGTAAACTTTGCTCAAACGGCCCCATGCTCAACTACCTAGAATCACTCAAAATCATCGCAAAGCATTGACGGCTCATGGCTGATTCATACGCTTTCACTAAACTCCTCTTCGGCAAAATTGCAGTGTAAAATAGGGGAGGTGAAGCCGCCGCCGTCCATACAGGGTGGAAAGAATGAACCGAAACTTTCAGGTCTAGCTCTGATCCCACCCGGCAAATCCTGAAGCACACCCATCCTAGTTCCAATGTGTTTTCTTGTAATTGCTTTTTTAGTACCAAAAGAGGTTTAGGGTGGCGGCAGTGGTTTAATAGCAAAATCTTGTTCATTTGCTCTCCGATAAAGCAAAGCTGATGCTTCTACCCTGGTTTAATACATCGGGGAAGACAAGCGGAATAAACTATGTTAACACCAGGAAGCTTCAAGTATCTCAAAGAAATAAGATTTAACTGAGAAGATATCTTACCAGCCAGGATGAACAGCAAATTTTCCATTTGCAAGAGCCCAGTTCACCTGCTCGAAACAGTTAATGTCATATTCAGAATTATTATAAAATAAAAAATAAAAATAAAAAAAAGATTATTGCAATCTCTTTATCAGTAGTACTTCGTTCCCCCCTCGGAGGATGGTAGGATATATTTTCCGGCTGCATTTATCATCATGTAGAAAATACTTCACAGTTCCAACAACATAAGAAGGTTCTAAGCTTCCAAATTCCGATGTTTACATACTTGCCTTTTCTTATACTCCACTTCATTTGGCTTGGAGCTTTCAGCATTTATTTTATGTGAGTCTCAAAAGGTTAATAATAACATTGAAAATTGGCAACATTACCTTGTCAGTCCCCGGGGAATTGGCAACTACATGGGTAACCTGGTCATCTATCTGGGTGGTGCACACTGCACCAAACTGTTCAGCCGTTTGCCACAGAGGATGTAGGTGAGGATTCACCTCACTGACCGGAAACACCCTGCTAAATACAATTCGACAACCAGCCAAAATTTTCCGCTGTTCTGAGGCTAGAATATTTCTAACATCTACTTCATCCAAGGAGTGATGGGAGAAAAAGTTCTGATGTATTTTCTCGATAACCTATGTCAGCCAAGGCACAGATAATCATAATCCAAACGTATGAAAACCTGTGAAGGTAAAAAATATAAATATATACATATATATCAGGCAAAAGTACAATACCGCCAAAGAAGATGCTAGCGTCCCTTGTTCAGGTCTCTCATCATGGTCAATCTCCAGAAGAGAAGGACCTGGCAGCCCAAATTGGCGTCTACTACAGGGGAAATATGTGTACCTGTAAGATAGTGATGCAAAGTCACACGAAAGGCAAGCAAGCCCATAAGATGAGGAATGTGATGTTTTATATTCAACAGAGGCATTGATACTTCAGAGCCCAAAAACAAAAAGGCATTGTTACCTTTCTACAACTATCAAGTTCAGTTTGTTATGCGGCCAGACCCTCACAGAATCATCAATAATTACAACAGATGATTCCATGCCCAAAACACCTTCCAGATCCTTACTCTTTGGAACCCTCTCATCGCCATCAAAAGGGTCACCGTCATCTCCCCTAGAAATAACTCGTCCAGAAAACAGAGTCCCCATGGGATCGAGCACTTTTGCCATCTCTGTAGCATATAGCTTATTCCCCATAGTGTAAAGATGCAGCTCATAAAGCTTACTGGCCTGATTTGCAGACAGGACAAGCATTCAGTGCTTCATGTTGAACTTAGGCAAGAGTTAAATATTAAAGCCAAAACAAATTATTATTATTATAATTTAAAAAAAAAACCTTCTCCAAAAAATTCCAGACCCCAGGACGAAGTTTGGTCCACATTCCCATATGAGGGAAACGGAAGAGATGTCTTTGTGGTTTTTCACGATCTTGTTCCTCTTTCTTCCTCAAAATCTCGTCATGGACAGAATCTACCTCCACAAACTGAAAAGGGTAAACCAAGTTATAACAGACTTACACTCCATAAATAGAGCATCCACGGATCGGCCATGAAACAACTGATTCCATACATCCACAAGATATTATTACCTTAGCCGAATTAAGAAGTGTGTGGTCTAGATCCAAGACCAGACAAAGCTTGTGGGCATCAAACATTTTCTTCTGTTCTTCTAGTCTCCTAGCCCTCTCTCTCTGGATAGCAGCTTTTTGCTCGTCATCATATCCTTCAAATAGATGCTCAACATCTCCCCATGCATTAGGTGTGCGGGAGGGAACTGCCAAAGTTGTTTCAGGAGTGGAATTAGTGCCACTATGCTGATCCTCAGAGTTCGGAACAACAGCTTTCACATCCCCTCTATCTGGTTTAACTGGCAGTGGTTGTGAAGAAAGATTCTGTGAAACTGTAGCTGGACTTGTTGATGCTTGTGACACAGACATAAGATCGGCAATATTTCTCAGATTCTTGGTAAATTGCCGAGCAATATCAGGTTGCACAACCAATTGGGAAGGCACTTGTTTCTTATCAGCTTGACCCTCCTGCACTGGGCCATTGAGGTTATCCTTATTTCCTGGGGTGCATGAAACTGAGGACACAATAGGTTTGAACTGTTCATGCCCTAAGCTCCAGCTTTTTTGAAGCATATTACCATGGAGTACGCGCCGAGGATCCCGGGGTTTCATCCGGATTTTTCCTAACTCGTCCTGCATGCTCTGCACATTACAAACGAAGCTTAGAAAAAAAAAAGAAAAAAAATCTTATAATAAACGGATCTATTCTGCAAATAACTTTATATTTAGTACCACTCGTCCACTTTAAAGACGGTCAGTACTGTCTAATGAATGGTAAAAAAAAGACGAAAACTGAAATTGTTAATTAAAAAAAAAAGAAAGAAAAGGCGTCGCCAGTTAGCAAAATGGGAAAAGCAAACTAAAATGCAAAATTAGCACCTCCTTGACTCTTCATTCAGTTAATCCATCACGACAGTATAGCAAACACTCACCGCTGTAGCTACTTGTGAAGTAGTTGGAAGTGATACTGCTGGTGTCTGCAAAATCCCTGAAGCCTTAGAAGGAGCAACGTTCACTAAGGGAGCTGCTCCCAGAATTGAATTTGTGCCTGGGGGATGTGTTGTATTTTTGGAAGAATCGGACTTCTGCTGTGCATCTGCTGCTAATAGCTGTTGCTGTCCCAGCTTATTAAGAATGTCCATAAATATTGTTGGATTAACAGCTATATCCTTCAAAATTGCAGGCAAGGCATCTGGGGTACTCGTACCCGTCACGGGCACCTGCTCTTTACCAATATTTGGGCCATTGTTCATTATGGGACCATTTACCAGGTGAATTGATTTTCTAGGGTCAGCTTCTGCATTCTCCACTAACTGGTTTTTGTTCATTATCTGGGGTCCGGTTGTTCCGTTGTCCTCCAACCAACCACCTACCCCGGACGCAGTTTTGACATCAATCTTGGCACTTACAAATGCATGTCTTTGCCTTTTTAATGCAGGACCATCCAGATTGGGCTCCTCAACAATTCTTTGCTTTCTTGAGCTTGTTGGGTCACCAGGTTCCACTTTAGGTCCATTGTGTACCGCAGTCAAGGGTCTTTGATTGAGATCCAATGCACCCGCATCCGAGTTAGCAAATCGAAGCCTAGGGTCTCTACTCCTTGCCGAGGCTTTCATGGTTGAATTAGAGCCAGAACCAACAGGGGCAGCATTTTTAGCCGCAATTGGTCCTTGCATGGTTGGACTACTTACAGGGACAGAGGAAGTAACAACCGATGGTCTCAAAATGGGTATTGCTGGCGTTCTTAAATTACCACTAGTCAAAGAACTTGAGACCTCCTGATTAATATCATCCTCTTCATCACATTCTTCTGAAGGGGTTGGGCTTGGAAGCCTGTCACTCATTAGGAAGGAACCCCGACCAAACTTTTGCTGATAGGTGGAAACAGCTTTGAGGGCATCAGTTTCATAACGATGTAGTCTAGATTCTTCTGCCCCGGGCGCCACCTTAGCTGTAGTAGACACCGGTTTAATTATCCCATCTGCAACACCTAAAGGCTTGTAGACAGGAAAACAAGATGGCGCCTCTCGTGTAGGCGATGGAAGACTATCTGCATCATGATCCTTGTGAAGATCTAAGAGCGGGAGAAGAAGCCCCCTGCCCTTAAATGCAAGCGTTCCTGGCCTCAGAAGTTCCGGTAATGTAATTGGGTTACTATGAACCACAGATGCTACACAATCTTGGGGCAATTTAACAGAAGTCCGTTCAATGCTGGCATTTTCAGCATTTGCATTTGTTAAATTTGAATCCATCTCATGGAGCCGCTCAATAATCTGTGTCTCTTTCTCTTTATCACTCGCTCCACTACTCGGCAAAACATTAAGCGGATTTAAAGAGGATATCATGAGCTCTATCTGTAAAAAGAAAGAGACCGTCTTATAATCTTTGCATCATTAATATTTACATTTTTTTTTCTTTTCAAAAGCTGGAGGCAAGGTAAGGAAAAAACTGATCCTGAACCAAGTTTCAAGGTATCTAACCTCTTTCGTTTGCTCAGGGGAGAAGAGAGGAGTGCCGCAGTTCTTTACAGAACAAAACAATCTGAAAATTTAAAAAGGGATTAATTATTTAATTAAGCACTTCCTAATGACCAAAGGAAACCATAAATTTTTAATAAAAACCTTGATAAAGTTTCCTTCTTTTGTTCCTTTTGATTCACACTCATGGAGCAGAACACCTGCAAAATACAGCGAGCCAAAACATTAAATCTTTTCTCACCCATCACATGAAAACACTCCAGAATATGTAATACAGCAATTTTGAATAAGAAATATAGAGTGCCTTACAGAATTGACAACTTGAATAGCAGTGATCGACATCTGAATGACAACATCCTTTGTTGGAAAACTAAATTCTTTTTCTGAAAGAACTCCTCGCAAGCTCTCCAAAGTGCGCTGTAGCCGCGAACAAACTTCCTCAAATGATCTACAACAAATAAACCAGCCAAAATCAAGAAGAAAACTTTAATTCAAGTGAATCCACAAAGTGTCACAAACTGGGAAGCCATTACCACACACTCCCAAAATTCACCAATTGTACTTACTTCTCTGCATTAACCACATTAACACTCCCAAGAGTTTCCCAAATCAAGTCCACTCTTTTCTCCAACTCGTCACGTCTCGAATCAACCTCTAACCCACCAACATTCTCAGCTTCACAATTCAAATCCCCGTCTTTCGCTTCTTCTCCGGCGGGCTTCTGCGTCGGCTCCGACTCCAAATCAATCTCGCCCTCCTCGAGCTCCCCCTCCTCCATCTCATCAGCACTGTCGTCGATCACAACTTTCTCCACTTTCTCCACTTCCTTCACACCATTCTTCCCCTCTCTCCGGCCGCTATTAACCGCCGGCGAAGCCGACGAGAGCACTACTCTCGAGCTGTCGTCGGCGTCAACATCCATCACGAAAATCTCATTGAGAGGTTTATTCTGCACGGCCTGCGCCCACGCAAGGTTGTACAATCCCGTCGTGTAGCCGCGAAATCCCGGATAATTCGCATAGAGATCTCGCATCGTCCAAACCCTAGAGTCACCAAACTTGGATTCCTTGGAATTCGAATCGCTGACGGACATAACTTTACCACTACCAGTACCATTACCTTCCTGCTTATTGAAATCCTCTTCGCTGATCTCTTCCACAGAAGCCGAATCCGAAATCTCACCTTCTTCAACGTCTTCCACAACTCTTCCACTCTCAATTCTCCCCATCACACTTCTTAAATTATAATCCTCAATCTCTTTAATACGATTAGATCTGAGAAACACCATAAATCAGTATGTCTACTATACACAGGCGCGATTATTTCTCAAACAACAACGAATTTATACAAAGATTTCTTTTTTTTTTTACGACAAGATCTCGCAAAAACGAAATTAGGGTTTTAATTTTTTTTCCTTCTTTTTTCTGCTTTATTCGCCTGAGATCTGAAAAATTAGGTGCACAATTTAGAAGAAAGAAAATTTATGTTTTCCCGAGAAAATATTTTGATCTCAGATCCGGGGTTAGATCGCGAGCTCGGAATCGTTATTCTTTGGGATCGAGGCGAGAGAGAAAAAAAGAAACTATAAACACGAACAAACAGAGAAGGGACGACGAGGGAGAAGAAAAGAGAGAAGAAGAGAGTTTTTATAAGAGGAGGAAGGGGAATCTTGTACACGGAAAGAGTTTGAATCTGAGCCGTCCACGTCAGTGATCCGAGGGAAAAGTTAGGGGGGGGGGGGGGGGGGGGAGGGGGGGTGGGGGGGGGGGGGGGGGGGGGGGGTGGGGTAATGACATATGCCCACTCGTTGTTTGTAACCGGTGGAAGCTCGCTGCTCATTTTGTTTGGTGGGTCATGACTCATGACTAGTTATGACTTCGATTGGATGGTTAGCTCCACATCTAGTAGTCCATTCTAGTGCTGGAAGTTTGGGTCGGTAGGCTGCCCGAAATCCGAATTTTTTCGGGCTCGGGCGGGCAAGTCCATTTCTCGTCCGTCCAAAGTTGATTTTCGGGTTTAGGCTCGGGCAACCTGAATTTTGCATCTTCTCTTTTGCCCGCCGCCGTCTAATCGCCGTTTACTGCTGTTCGCCAGAATTTTTTTGAATTTTTCCGACCATGCCCGAATTGCCCGACCCGAAAAATGCCTGAAAATGTCGTGTGCCCGAAAAATGCCCGAATGCACGTAATGGCTACTTTTTTTGAATTTTGCCCGAATTGTACCCGAAAACCCGAGGTGCCTGACTGCCCGAATTACTCAAAAACGGCTAGTTTTTTTATTTTTTGCCCGAAACCCGACCTGCCCGACTGCTCGAATTACCCAAAACGGCTAGTTTTTTGAATTTTGCCCGAAAACCCGAACTGGCCGAAACTGCCCGAGTTGCCCGATTGCCCGAATGCCTGAAAATCAAAAATAGCCGTTTATCCTGATTTTTTTTGAAAAAAAATCATTTTTTAACCCCAAAATTTCCCTATAAATACCCCTCATCCCCCACACATTTTTCTCACTCAATCCCTCTCAATCTCTCTCAATTTCTCTCAATCTCTCTCAATTTCTCTCAATCTCTCTCATAATTTTTCTAAAAATTATCACATTATCCTAAAGTTCTCTCTCTCTCAAATCCATCTTATTTTTTTATAATGGATCCTTTTGGTTATAGTGGTATTCCCGTTGATGTCCAACACAATGTAGAAGAATGGTAATTTCCCACTAATGAGTTTGTTACGCATGAATCTACTAATCCGAGCCATGGTGGACGTACTGGAGGTCATGGTCGCAATAGTGGTGGTGGGCGTGGAGAAGCGGCAAGTGCGACTGCGTCTGCGTCGGCAAGTGTTGCAACCTCCAAGAGGAAATACAAGCGTACCTCGACAGTTTGGAATCACTTCGACATAATTGACGAGGTGGATAATGAAGGTAACACTAAACATATAGCTCAGTGTAAATATTGTTTATCTAAATTACAAGGTGACACTATTCACGGCACCATACACTTGAGACGACACTCCGAAAAGTGTCTTCAAAAGCTTAGCCAATCTAACGGACCCGAACTCTGCCAAACACAATTATCTTTTGATCGCGCAACCGGTGATCTAACCACTTAAAAATACGATCTACAAGTAGATCGTATGGAAGTTGCGCGAATGATAGCTGCTTTAGATCAACCACTTAGTTTTGTAGAGCATCCTAATTGGCAACGATATATTAAGGTTGTACACAATCCTAATGCACAGTTCACTTCAAAAACTACTATTAGAAAAGATTTATTAAAATTATTTAAAAAAGAAAAAGATGCATTAATGAACCTTTTACACTCGACTAGCGGGTGCGTTGCGTTAACGGCAAATATTTGGTCTGCCGTTGCCAATAAAGATTATTTAGCTGTAACCGGACATTACTTTAAAGGATTTGATTTAGATAAGAGAATATTAAGTTTTAAATGTGTTCTAGGATCACATAGCGCAGATTTAATATATAACACAATTTTAAATGTAATTGATGAATTTAGTTTAAGAGATAAAGTAATGGCTATAACATTAGATAATGCTAGTGCCAATACAAAAGCAATTGAATTTTTTGAAAATGATTTAAGTCTATTCGGTGACGATACTAAGCATTAAATATACCTCATAGAGCATTAGCGTTAGATATGCCTATAAGATGAAACTCAACTTATATTATGCTTCAACAATGTATCCCTTATAAGGATGCTATAACAAACTATATGTGTGTAAAATTAGGAGTATGACATATAGATGAATTTGATTGGCAAATTGCTGAAGTTTTGTATCAATTTTTAGGTAGGTTTCATGAAGTTACTCTAAAACTTAGTGGAACATACTACCCAACATCACCTTTAGCTTTAGGAGAACTTTTAAGAATTAGTATTTTATTTCACGAATATAGGGAGGACCCAATCTTAGGAGTTCCTGTTCATTCTATGGAAAATAAATTTAAAAAATATTGGTCTAAGTTGCCTTTGTTATATGGTTTAAGTACAATTTTTGATCCTAGGTTAAAATTAGACAGATTAGAAAGTGGTTTAGAAAACTTAGGTGAATTTTTAGGCATCACTTGTACGGACCAATTTTCAATAATAAAGGCAAAAATATATGAAATCTGTTGACGGTCAAATTTCGTCAACAATGATACGCCGGACAACCCTCTAGTATTTTGTTGGGTTACCCGCTAGAAATTAACTGTATATTTAAAATTATGCTATGAAGTGTTTGTTGCTTTTTGAAAGCATGAGAATAATGCTTGAATGAGAGGACACGCGAAATTTATAGTGGTTCACTCTGTTAATGAAGAGCTACATCCACTTGTGTATTGTATTTCCCTTAGACTCTTTTTGGATTACATAAAATCAGCTCTCTATTCTCTGATTACATATGAAAAGTAGCCAAAAATCCTCTCTCTCCCCCAGTGGGGGTCTTCATCCTTTTATATTGGGCTTCCTTCACCTAGTGGTTTTCTTTGATCGGTGGAAACACTCAAGTGTTCTACCTTGGTAGGCCCAGATGTAGCCTACTAATCAGCACTGCTCACTCAGCTAATTAGTCTTCTGTTACGGCTCTGTGATTCTCCGTAATACTTTTCTGTCCCCTGTGGGGCGGTTTGAGAATTTGTAATTAATGCTGACAGACGTCTTCCACTTATGCACGCAACCCGTCATGCCTTAAAGGAACGTTCCCCTCGTCGCCAGCGCCATTTAGCCCCAGTCATCCTCTTTGGCGGCCCTTTCTACAGCCGAGGAATATCCATACCTTAATTCAAGAGGCACTATCCATCGGCGCCACAAGGGGTCGTCGCCCTAATCCGGACTTTAACTTTGGGCTTTGCAGCTAATTGGGAAGAAAATGTAGGCGCCGAGGGTTGTGTGTTTGGCGGAGAGCAGTTATGGCCACGTGTCGTGGTGTCGTTGATCCAGGTGTCCATCACATTTTCCCACACAACAGCTACCCCCCAGGTCGAGGGCTCCCCTCTTTTTTTATTGGGCGGCCTCGAGCTCCAGGTTCGGTTGTCCTTTCGTACTTCGGGTGTGGGAAACCGGTCCCGAGCCTCCGTCCGTAATGATGGCCTGGGTGCTTCGGGGACGCAGCCGTCGCGTTGATTGGCCTGTCATAATGATGTATATCCGTTTTCTGAGAAGACGAATACATACCGTCAGATTCACGTCCTCTCGGTTTCCCGCCCTTCTCCATCACCGTCAGATCCGGACAGTGATCCCTTGCCGTAGGATTTTGAAGTTTTATCCAGCGGTTGGGGGGTCGAGGACGCTGTTCTTTTATAATACTCTTCATGAATCCGAGAGTAATTTTTTTTTCTTCTCCAAAACTTCGAACTTTTGTAGCGTTCCCATTGAACCACTGCATTTAGCCGGAACCTCCTTTGTTGAACTTCCGACTTCACCCTTCTTGCTCTCCGTGGTATATTACGAAGCCGTCCCGGAAATCCTTTCTTCACCGGTAAGTTTCTGGATCTTTTCTTGTTGTGCGTACTCACGGGGCTCCCCCCGTTGTGTACCTGGAATATATAAATTTTTATGCGCAAAATGAGAACATAAAAGTTAAGGAGACTTACTTCGTTGTATTCTGTCGCGCTGGATGACCTGGTCTCCATGCATTTTTTATTGCCTGTGTGCCTTTGGTTTCTGGGTTTCGGGGAACCCGTGATTCCTATGAACACTCGTCGTTACCGTTCTCATATGAATGGTCGACGTCAAGTTGAGGTGTTTGAGTAGTCATCGTTTAGAGTAGTCGTCGTTTCTTCCTCTCGACGTTAGGGTTTTAACTTAGCTTCTTGTCCTTTTAATTACCAGAACAATGGCCCAAAGTTCACCCAATCGAGAGGATTCTTCTTCTGTCGTCCGTTCTGACCCCTCTCCGGTGGTGGAGATCTCATGGACTTCTTCCTCCTCCGGTGTCAGCTCTGTGCTTAGGGATATTGAAGACGTCGAGGGAAGTTACGAGCCGGGTGACGACTTCAGAAGTGAATTCGAAAGCGTCGACCGGTTGGTAGACGAGGTAGTCGAGCGAATCCCCTTTACCGGGGGCAGCGTAAGTCGGGTAGCTATCGCGACGGTGGATGCCCCCCTGGCTGCTACGAGTGGTGACCCAGATAGGCCTTCCTTCACAGCCGATGGTGTGGCGTCGAGGGTCCGAAATAAAGATATCATTCGGGCTGTGAAGGAGGGATGCATCGACAGGAGGTGGTTTGAGTACCTCTTTCTGGACATGCATTTTAGAACTAGCATGCCGCCGACCGGATACCTTCCGGTCTACACAAGAGCGGTAACCGCGGGGATGACACTCCCAGTTCATCCCTTCGTAAAAGATTACTGCCATTTTTATGGCATCTCCCCCGCCCAATTGGCGCCGAACTTCTGGTACTGCTTTGTAGGAGCCTAGATTCTATGGCACCAGAAGTTTGACATGGAACTCCCATTGGATGAGTTCCGATTCATGTATAAGCTGTGCCATGTCGCCAAGTGTGACGGGTGGTACTTTCTGAGTGGCCACGGGAGAGCTTAGCCCAGGTTTGGGAAGCTCATTCTGGGTATTCCCTCGACGTCACATGGGTAGAAACCCATGTTCTTCATGA